GACTTATAAGAAGGAAACTTTGTAGTTTGCTGAAACTATTATGTAACTTTTCATTAAAAATAGTGAAGTAGCCATGCAGGTCTTATGGATGGTTTCCTGCTTCTGCTGCCATATTTAATGATTTTAGTTAAATTTCATAAAGGGAAATAGAAATATACTTAAAGGATATGGACACTTACAGACGCTTGCTGGAATAACTCTTGCAGAATAATTTTTGAGTTTGGAAATTTCTGTGTTGCTTTGTAGTCTTTAGTCAGAATTGGTGTTAATAGTTTCATGTTAATAGACTTACAGCTCTATTTTTCAGTTGTTTAACATAATTGTGCTAACCCTGGTGGGGAAGTTTAGAAAAGGACAGGATAGTTTTCTCAGGCCAAGTTTAAATTACATCAATCATGTAATTGTTCACACAAAACAAGCGAACAAGCAAAACTTATTATTCTGTCCTAGAACAGCATTTAAAGTGTTACTTTTAGGGGCATGCTTACCATTCAGCTGATAGTAATTTGTGCTCACCAGTGTGTAAATAAGAATAGCAAGTATATGTTGAACACTTTCTATGTACCAGGCATTTATATTATCTCATACAGTCTTCACAATTACCTGTGAGATAGGTTGGAATTCCCTTTACAGATGAGGCTGAGAGAGTAACAGATGTCTCTAGTCTCAGTCTGAGACGAGGAGGCGGACAGAACAAGTGCCTGTTATGTACAGTACCTGTGATTGGTTCATGGTGTTAGCAGCTTCCAGGAAATGCTGAGATGTTTATGTAGCTGTCTAGTAAACGTCAGATTACTTCAGCTTGTATAGGTAAGAATATCTGATCACACTGGGTGACGTAGAGGGGATTCTCCTGGGGTGAGCAGCCTGGAGTAAGGACTTGTGTTTCCTGTCTAGCTTTGGTCTGGCTCATTCTGCAGTCCCCTAACATGTCAGTTGCTCTCTGTCACCTTGTTAATTGCTGAACACTCACTCATTGTGTGCTTTGCTGGTCACATGCCAAGAACTTTTGGCAGCTCTGGGGTACATGCTCTCCATATGCCTTCTGGTAAGTGTTGGGCAACTAGAAGTTCCTAGTTGTTGTGAGAACTTTGATTCAGAAACTAGGACACATGCCAGAGACCAGGGATGGGGTAGTTGGGCAGCTGACAGGTGAAATGGAGCTATTCAGGTTGTCACTTGGTCAGGACTCAGAAATAGAGCAGGCATGTGACTCTGAAAAGTGGTTTTTGAAGAGGATTATGATGGTTGGCAATGGACTTCATAGTTTGTAGACATAAAATAATTCTAACTTCTTTTTGAGGAAGAGTCATAAAAATACAAAATCTCCTTTGCTCTCTTCTCTTCTTTATGGTCTCTAAAAGTTGACATTTCTCAGGGTTTAGTCCTTAGCCTTCTGTATTTATTTTCCACACGATCTTACATGATCACTTGTTTTAAATGCTATCTGGTCTCCCAAATTTACGGTTTCTTTACTTTGGTCTCTCTTATGAGTTCTAGACTTATATTTATTTCTTTTCAACATCTCCATTAGACATTTCAAACAATATGTCTAAAATATAAATCTTGAGCTCTTCTCCCTGGATAAATGATATGCTCACTTGTTCCAGGCCAAAAACTCAAAGTCATGTGTGACTTTTTCTTTCATATCCCACATCCAGTCCATTAGTAAGACTTACATGTCTTCCTTTCAAAATGTATCCCAAATCACCCCTACCCGTCTCCAGTCAGTCCTTCATATAAGAGTAAAAGTTTTTTTTGTTTTTGTTTTTTTTAAAGGCTAAACAGTTCCTGTCATTCCTCTGCTCAGAACCCTTCAGTGGCTACTCAGCACACACGGGGTAAAACCTTGTCTCACATGTTCTACCAGGCCTGCTGACTTTATCTCCTATACTCTGTCTTGCTCACTGTCTTCTATCCACATCTGCCTTTTGCTGTTCCTTAGATACTCCCAAGGCCATTTGTTAATCAGCTAATTTCTCCCTGCTCCGTGATCCCACACCCCTCACTCCAACCAGTTCTACCTCTAACCTGGTACTAGTGGAAGTAGATTTAGAGAGAAGAAAAGTGCACATCCAGTACTCTCTAGCACATGTAGTGGTAGAGTTACAGTAAAAATATTACAGCTTTAGCATTCCTAGTTTCTGCAATTCGAATTGCTTTCAAGTATAAAAGGGACTGGATTTAGAGCTACAGAAATTCATAGCTAGAATCCATGTGGGAAAGTTACAGAGAGAGAGAGATTCTCCTCTGTTTGAAGAGTTCTAATAAGTTGGTACCAATTACATCTGCATGAAAACAGTTTGATCTGCTTCATGAGACAGTAAGTTCTCCATTACTGACAATGTGCAGTTAGAGGCTGATCAGTCTCACACAGAGATGTGGAGGAAGACCATGCTGGAGTAGAGGGAGGGAAGAATTGATTCTAGGGTCTTCCCACTTCTGAGATTAGGTCAACTTTTAGAATCTTCTTTGTCAGAATTAGTTCTCAGAGTCCTCCTCCGATTCTTCCTCTTGTTTATACATTAGGAAGCTTTCTTAAATAATAAGACTTGAAGGTTGAAATTACTCCTTGTTCCATAAGCTGCAGAATGGATGTTGTGTTAGCGGGCATGAAAACATTAATCTCCTTGTACATCTCCATTAGAGCTGTTGGGTGACTAGGTGCATTAATTAAGCAATAATAATTTGAAAGGAATCTTTTTATCTGAGCAGTGACTCTCAACAGTGGGCTTAAACTATTCAGTAAACCATTCTGTAATCAGATATGCTGTCATCCAGGCTTTGTTGTTCCATTTACAGAGCAGAGTAGATTTAGTGTGATTATTCATGGCCCTAGCATAATTCTTAATGGCCTCAATGCAAATGAAACAGCCTTATATTTGAAGAAGATGCCATATAAAACTTTCATGGCTGGAGAAGGAAAGTCAGTGCTTGGCTTCAAGGGACGAGCTGACTCTCTTGCTAGGGGCTAATGCAGCTGGTCACTTGAAATTGAAGCCAGTGTTCATTTACCATTTTGAAAATCATATACACTAGAAATATGGATACACTTCAAAAACATTATGCTGAGTAAAATAAGCCAGACATAGGACACCACAAACCGATTCCATTTACTGTTCTAGGTTAGTATATCAGAAGTGTGAGAAAAGATAAAATTTACTATATAGTGACAAAAAGTAGACAAGTTGTTGCATGCAGCTAAGGGTGGGTTGAGATTGATCTGGAGGCAGTACAAGGGAACTTTTTGGAATGATGGTTGTGTTCATATCTTGATTATGGTGTTGATTATATGGATATATAAATTTGTCCAAGCCCACTGAAAAGTACACTTAAAATTTTTATATTTTATTATATGTCAACTATTATCCCAGTAATATTGCTTTAAAAACCCTGGTACACAAGTTTTGGAAGTTATTTTACTAGCAAAAGATTAACTTCTGTCTATGTGTAATGCTAAAACTTAGTCACCCTGAAAAATTCACTTAGATAAATCAGTATATACAATGTACATTAAAAAAATACATGAATTAAAAGTCCTTAAGGAAAGAGAGTAGATGAATTCTCGGTATACTTTCTAGTCTGTAGAAAGTTTACGGACTATAGTTTTTGATATATTTTATATATTAGAATCTTCACACTGATGTATGTTTCCAGTTTCTTAAATTGATGTTCGGTTATACTCTTGAAACTGAAAAGCAGCCAGATAAAATGAAATAATTACAATTGTTTTTGATTTTGCTTTCTTGGTCTTCTTGAGTTGAATTTTATTTCATGTTTTTTTAACTAGAAAAACTATTTAGAAGACATACCAATGTTCTGTAGAATCTATTTTTTCTTTTAGGAATGGATCCCCTAGAGTTTAGCTAAGCACTGGACTGCCCGTCTAGAACCCATGCTTCTCTGCTGCTTTTGCAGCAATGTGTGGCTGTGTGGCTAATGAGAGGTGAATGGTGATGTGTGTAAGGTCACCTCCTTTAAGGCAAGCCACTTACCCTAGACTTTCTCTTTTCCTTTTCTGCTGCCTGGGGTGTTACACCAGTTACAGTAGCCATCTTCGGTTGAGAGTTGTAAACCACGTGGAAGATGGCAGAGCCAACCATCCACAAGTGGTCTTGTGAAACACACCTCCCCTCCCACTCTGTATTTTGACATGAAAAAGAATTCCTTTCTCACTTGAGCTACTTTTGAGTCTCTTTGTTATGGGAGAAAGCTGATACACTAATATAAAATTGAAAGCATTTCAGAGTTTTCAGTTTTTCTTTATACTGTTTGGCTATATTCTCTCTATATTGGCATTGTATTCTCAATTAAAATAATTTTTAAAATTGCATATGATTGCATGCCAAGAGTTCCTTTTTGATTATTTAGGAGAATGTTTTGCAAATTTCAAAGTTACTTTTAAACTTTTGGTAGTCATTCTTAATGGTATGATATTAATATATGGAATTCTGCTCTTCTAGATTTTTATGGTTGTATTTCTGGACCAGCTTATGATCAGTTTTGGTAAAGTTACATAGACCTTTTTAAAGAAGTTTTATTTATAAAATACCTAAATACCTATTATGTTTTTGAACTTTATTTTTTTTTTGTCTGATCTCTCAGAGACCGAAAGTTGTAAATCACTGATCTCTCCCATTAATTTTAATTCTTATATTTCTCTCAGGTTTTGTTTTGGTGTGTGTGTTAATGTGTTATTTACTGTCAACATTGCAATTGAGGATTATACCTTTTTTCAGAGTAATATGACTTCTTTATTTATTTATTTTTTCCATTAAATAAAAGGTCTTGCTTTGACAGCCAGGCTAGAGTGCAGAGGCACAATCGTAGCTCATTGCAGCTTCCAAATTCTAAGGCCCAAGTTGGTGATTCTTGTGGCTAGCTGGGACTATAGACATGGCACCACACCTCTAATTTTTGTTTTTAATTTTTTATAGAGACGGAGCTTTGCTATATTGCCCAAGCTGGTCTTGAACTTCTGGCCTAAAGTGATCCTTCTGGCTTAGCCTCCCAAGGTGCTGGGATTACAGGTATGTGCCATGGCACTCAGCCATGACTTTCTAATTTATGACTTGAGTTTTTTGTTCTGTTTGAACTGGCATTGGTATTGCTACCTTAGTTTATATTTCTCTATGAATCTGTACTTCCTGTTATATTTACACTTTCTTTGTCATTACTTTTAGGTATGTTTCCTAAAAGTAGAACATAGTTGGATTTTGTTTTTTTAACCTAAAAAGAACGTCTCTTAACAAATATTTAATGCATTTAAATTTGTTTCCAAATTGTTCTAATTGATTTTACTTTATTGATCTTCCTTTCAGCTTTCTATTTGAAATTCTTCTTTGTTTTCATTATATTTTGGATTTTTTGCTGTTTTGATTTAAAGTTTTACGTTTAATTTGATTTTCATTTTTAACTTATGGTTCACCTAAGAGGCTTTGAAATCTATTAAAGATTACTTTAAAGGTTTTTTTTTAAGCTTTAAATTTATATGATAACCTATCATTAACAGGCAAGAATAGGATGGTGTCTCTTGATTTCCCTCAGTGTTAAATGAGACATTTAATATGTTTTTACTTACCTGCTTCTCTATTTTCATTAAAATGGTCTAAGATTTTTTAATTCAGACTATTACTAAATTATAATTTTAAATAATTTATACACTTTTTAAATTAACTTTTACATGGGCATAAAGATTATGAAAACCCTAAGGTGTCACAACCTTAAATTAGTTTCTACTTTTTCAAGTATATTCCAAAAGGAATCTTAAGCCATCAGAATTAAACTCTGATATCGTATTATTCATTATTTTCTTGATTTATTTTTATATTATATCTTTAAAAGGTACCATTTTCATTTTTCCTGTTGTCCACATTCAGACTATTTCTTTGCTCATTAGACTAGGAGAAAAGAAATGGAAATAGTCAGATTTGAAATTAAGATACCAAGTTATGTATTCGATATTTGCTATAGCAAAGTCTAAGGTCTGGAACATGTTTAGGATGATTGGATTAATAGATTTTATGGTGGTGGATTTTATGGGGAGAATTACCCGTTATTTAGTAGATTTGTAAGCTTGTTTTCTAAGATGTTCCTGTCAATTACTGCATCAGGTAACACAGGGCCTGGCACTTAGATTCTCATTAATATTTGTTCAGTGACAGAAGCTGTCCTCTGTTGCTCTTGAGTCTCTAACAGACTGTTTTCCCCATCTTGAATGTGCCTAGTCATCTAACCTCCTCTCAAAGGGACACCAACTTCATTCTCTCTGTATAATGAGGGATCTTGTAAGGGGCTCTCCTAGTTTTTTCAGAACATGCTTGAGGACCATATAGGGAAGCAGGGTCTTAGAGGACACTCAGTCTTGTCTTGGAAACAGTGGAGAAGGAAGTATAGCAGTTGCTAGGGGTAATACTATATCTTTAAGAAAACAATGCTGTTGCTAAGTTATTTTTAGACATGGAAGGCTTCTCTCTTTTTTTTTTTTTTTTTAGTGCATGATTATGTAGCTAGACTACCAAGAGGTGGGGAGTGAAGTGAAGCTGAGAACAGCCTCTCCAGGATTATCAGGTCAGGGTGAAGTTCTTGGCAAGAGACTCGGAGTTAGTGTGGCGTTCTGGAAAGCACATGGGCTGAGGAGACAGGAGACCTTTATTCTAGTTTTGGGTTTCTGTTGTTGTTTGTGACTGTGGCAAAAACCATTTAACTTTTGTGAGTCTGAGGCTAGATTTATTAAATGAGGAATCTGACTCAAAGATCCTTTCTAACTTTAAAATTCTATGACTGACCAGAGGACCAGGGTAGAACATGGAGGTTTCTACTTATCAAGCATTTCTATTTTTAATATCATTTTGTAAAGTCAAGAAGAATAAATCATTTATCTTACTGCTTTGAATAGGAGGATTAGAAGAAGGAATCATATGTGGCTCACGTGTTTATGTTCTGACTTCACATGAGGTAAGTGGCATGACACGTGTTGTAATCGATTGTCTATATGGTAACACATGGAAATAATCCGGTACTAGAATGACTCAGAGGAATGTTTGTTGTTGTTGTTGTTTGTTCTGTTTTTGTTTTCTTGAGATAAGATTTCACTCCATCACCCAGGCTGGCGTGCAATGGCTTGATCAGAGCTTACTGCAGCCTTGAACTCTCAGGCTAAGAAAGTGATCCTCCCACCTCAGTCCCCTGACTAGTTGGGACTACAGACATGCATCACCATCCTTGGCTAATTTTTTAAAGTTTTTTTTTATAGAGACAGGGTCTCCCTGTCTTACACAGGCTGGTCTCAAACTCCTAGTTTCAAGCAATCCTCCTACCTTGGCCTCCCAAAATGTTGGGATTACAGGCCTGAGCACCTGCGCCTAGCCAGGAATGTTAAATCACCATTTTTTCCTGCAGAAAACTTGACAAAAATATTTATCTAGATTCCCAGAAGTTTATCACCTTTTCCACTGGGATATGTGTGTTTCTCAAAATTGAGGATACTGGGTGGTGGGCCTGTTGTGTGGTATCAGTCAGCCATCAGGCTGCAGGTCACGCTGAACATCCTTCATTGAACTCCCAAGTGGTGAAAAGGTTGCTGGCACCAAAGTTGTGTTTTACAAGGGCAGTAATAGGATGCTGCCCGAGCTGGCTATATGTCATAAGTCGAGCTGGGCATGATCACATGCAGGGTGGGCAGAGACAGTTTTCAAATAATGAGCATGTCACAGTTGTGAAGAGCTGGGGAAGAGTGCTGACTGAATAAAATCTATGTAGCAGTCAAAGAGTGACCCTTTTTGAAGAAAGGCTTTGTTCTGCCCAGATTCTGGACGAAGAGCCACCAACAAAGGCTCCATCCAGAGCAGCACAGAAAAGACTGGACAGTGGACGTTGGCTGCTTTTCTTCTCTGTAGTCATCACGTTGAGAACTAAAAAATAGTTGAAAAGTTTTATTTCCCTCTCTATCAAGAGCTTCCAGGGATGGGAGAGAGTTGTTTCATTTCAGAAACGTGTTTTGTTTTAGTAAACACATATGAATTGAATAAATGCATATAAATTGAATTTGAATGCAATACAATTCAAAATAAATTAGAAATGTGAATTTAAAAATGTGTATGATAGGCTTTTAAGTGCCACTGCGTCGCAGGCCCTGGTTAGTGACGCAGAGATCAATATTCAGTAAATTCTCCCCTCAGGAACTTGAGTAAGACCAACCAATAAATGGCTAATACTTAATATGTTTCATTCAGTTTTTGTGGAGAATCTACCCTATGCAAGGCAATAGGACTTACAAAGTAAGACAGAGAAGATCAAGTCTCTGTTCTCAAGGCATTTACAGTCCTGAGGGATATGAGTGACTAGGTAACTAGAGTGCCAGGTACATGGGGGCATACAACAGAGAATAACAGAATGTGTGGGCGTGAATAATGCAGGTGACATGAATGTGTCCTGAGATTAGAATGAAGCAGACTCAGGGTGTCTATACTTCCAGATTTTTAGAGTGTTTAAGTCTTCTAGAACTACAGAGTTAACTACTGGAGAAAACATTCTTGTATGTTTTTATAGGTATTAATGAGTCCAGCTATGGACTCATTAATACCTATAAAGCATCTGGGAGGAAAAAATAATACCTATAAAGCATCTGGGAGGAAAAAAAAATAGTTGGATACCTGTGCTTTCTGTTTTCAGCTGATGATGAAGATGATTGGATCCCCCTCTACTACCTACAAATTATGTCTAAAATTTGAAATTTGAAATTATAGAGCGATACCTTTTGATCAAACGTTTTTCCCTTTCAAGTTACAGTAGAAGTCTTTCTTGAACTTAAAGTCTATTTAAAAGAGATTGCATGGCCTCCCACAGTCATTGAATCCCATGGCTCTTTGAGGTAGGGATTTCCTATTCAGCCCAGTGTCCTCCTGTTCAAGTACGAGGCTGCTTTCTGTCTCTCTTATTAATGAAGTGTTGGTCTTTTTTGACAATAGTAGAGACCTGTAATTTATTTTAAGCTGGATTTGTAAATTGAAAGGGCCCAGGCTGAGTCTGGCCCATGTTGCATGTGGCTTACCTCCATGACCGAGCCAGAAAAGGCCCACTATTTGCTGTTTTTAGGGAGTTAGTAAGCGCTTTTATGATATAGTTTATACACATTTTATTGGCTAAAAGCTAGATGATCTGAAGGAAAAAAGAATAGGATACAAAAGTCAAAGTTCTGGCTGTGAACTAAAAGAAAAGTTAAAAATATAAAAACCAGCACAAATGGTACAAACAAGAATTAGAAATTAGGAAGAGCCTAGAAGGAGAGGTTTTTAATTATAGTACCCCTTAAGACATCTGAAATTGTTACAATGATTTTAAATAGGCAAACTTTTGGTCTTCAAAAGAATCAAGGGCTCTAACTTCTGTGTGTAGTTTATTAAATGTAAACACATAACAAAATTTAAGGGGAAAAGGTAATCTTTTTATGTGAAACTGTTTTGATTTATGGCTTCCCAGACTTTGAGAGCCTCTTTGCACCTTGATTAATATACTGAGTGGTTTTAAAAACTTAATAAAATTGTTGAGGGGGTTGTGGCATTAGCAGATATTTTTAATATAGCAATTGGGAATATCATTAAGAAGATTATTTAAACAGTTTGTAATATAAGCCTTGAATAGTATTACTAAATAAAGAAAATAAGGTTTTAGAAAGAACATGTTAACTGCAAAAAAAGTAAACTTTTTTCATGTATTACTGAAATCAACTATGGAATTGAAGAAACTAAGATTTTTCTTTTTAAAATAAAATTATTTACAGTGAAAATTCATAATGGTTTCTCTTTGTTAAAAAACAAAAAGCATTTATAGCTCAGGCTAAAGTTCCATTTGACCACCAACCTTCTGTCTCCCCAGAGATCATCATTTTGCTACTTAGTCTTCCAAATTGTCTTCTAAATATTTTTATGCACAGATGTATATGCTTTTTTTGGATGTTTAAAAAAACACAGAATGTTGATTGCTGGCTCATTTTAAATATGGCCTTCCATTGTTATGTTTTAGTTTTAATACTTCTGCAGTATTACTAATAGCAGCTGACATTTATTATTGAGTAGTTACTATGGGCTAGGCTGGATGCTTAGCATTTTTCATATAATTTAGCTTCATAATCATAATAACCTTCGGAAGTAAAATAGTTGATTTTATATGAATAAAATTCCATGTTCAATATACCTTTCATTTACAGTAAATTATTAATGCCAGTAGTATAGCATTCTTTAATAAGACTTCAATACCAAAACATTTGAAATGATTTTTAAAAATTGCTGAGACTGGAACTGCCAGTCTGTTACATTTTTTATTCTTGTGCAGTTGGCCTTTACCAGGTCCTCGGAGTCAGGTGTCTGCTTGCTCAACCAGAAAGCTGAGGTTATGAGGGTGATTCTTGCTCAACTTTTAGGAATGAAGTGGTAGTATGTGTCCTATTTGACTGATTTTAAATGAGGAACAGACAACCCCAGGCATTTCCTCACTACTTAATGGTTTGAAAAGCCTATGCCTGTGGTGCTGTCCATTTTGGGGACAGTTATAGGATACAAGACTGACATTGAAGGAGGTTCCCTTTCGAAAGAAGTCTTTCTTTTGCCCTTAGTCATATTGGTATGAGGAAATAAAGGCTGCTGCCATAGAACTCCAAGAATTTTTATGGGAATTGGTAGAAAGGGAGTGATATTGGGTAGGTTGAGAGAAAAAAAATTGTGCTTATGTATACACTGATTTTGGAGTTTGGATGAGGATATTTTCCCCGTTTCATGACAAAGTAAAGAGCTTTTAGTGAATAGCTCTCAGAAAGTTTTAAATCTCAGCTCTGCTGCTTAACTAGCTGTGTGACTTTGAATAGGTACTTGACATTGTTTTAATCAAAATATTCAGTTCATCCAGCTGTAGGGTTGAAATTACCTAATGTATGTTAGACATTGCTAAGTGCTATGTAAATGTTTCAGTATTAGGTGGTATTCTTACCATTTTCATTATCGTTAACTGTTGTCAAAATCTCCTATAGTTCATCTCTATACTATAGACAACCTACTAGCTTCTATCCTATATTACTTGAGAAAGGTTACTATATTAGGGTTTTGTTATTTTCAGAAAAGAAAAAGAGATCCTATCACCTCTTTTAACATTTAACAAATATTGAAGGCCTAATATATTTCAGTCAACATTTCTTCTGGCCGAATGCTAATAAAGAAAAGATCATTTATATTAATAGTAACTCTGGAGGAGAGGAGAAGGTCCCAATAAATACCATTTGCCAAAGGTCCCAGTAAATAGCATTTCATTGTCATTATTAGTCTTCATAGGCATTTTTAATCTTTTTTGTCTTCAAGATTTGAAAAAGCGTTAATTATTAATATCTGTCCACTTAGGCAAGTATTTGTAAGTAAATGAGTTTGTAAATGGTTATGATGAGACATTGATAGAAAACAATAAAAGTTTACCTTCCTTTGGTTTGGTTTTGGTTATAATACTTTATTTTGAAGTCACAAATAACATTTAATGGGAGTTTGAGGATTTTATGTTTAATAGGATGGAACATGGGTTGAAAACGTTAAGAAGTGCTCATTTCCAGAATAAGTGTCATGAAATTTTCAGCTGAGGAGACTGAACTCCACTGAGCTTGCATTTGGTGTACTTCAGGGTCCACATTCTAATGGGGAACTGATTCTTGCTGGAAACCCAGTCAGAAGTCTGGTTTATTCTGGGTTTGTTTAAAATTTTCTTCCCCACTGTTTTGCTGTATTTTCCTAACATACGTGTTACAGAAATTCAAAATTCATGGAAAGAATGAGCACCTTTAGCTTCTTACAGTGTCATGAGACTGCATATTGTGATCCAGTGTTCGAGAAATTAAACATCAGTTGTTTAAGACAACTAGGATGTCTACAGTTTAAATCTCATTTACTGTTTTTTAGCGATATGCCATTTAGTATATGAAA